CTGCCATTTTCCAGTCTCCTCAATTGGTTTTAATTAATTTCACTCCTATGTCTGTTGGCCAGGTGTTTTAACATAAAGAGAAATGGTGTGTGTGTGTGTGGGGGGGAGGGTGTTTACACATGCGGACTCTACGCATGTTCTGCACTGTAAGCATTTTCTATGCTGGCAGCTCTGATTCTCTGACTGCAATAAAAATTGCTAGACTTGATGTGGTTGACCTCAGGAATTGGTTTGGGGTACCTGAAAGTGGAATCAGTTCACTAAGCTACAGCTCCACAGCTGCACCACCCCTGGGCTTCTCTGATAACTCGATTTTAACAGGGAACAGCTTGGTGATGAGAAGCTGGATGGCTGTGTGGCACCCCAACACATTTAATACATTTTGGGTTTATGAACTTCTGTAGGGCATTGGTTTGAATGCTTTGCATCAGAATAAATCGAGTCTCGATGCTCAGAAATAAATTGACTTGCGAATTGTCTTTTTCCTTAGCTGCAGTGCTTACTGTTTCTTCATTGTCACTTAACTTCAGTTTCGTTCATCTCCTTGGTGTGGTGATGGATTCCCATGGCTCTCTGCTTCAGGAATCTGGAAGCGAACTTGAGATTCTGTGCACTGTGCTGTGCAGAACACTGGTCCGGGATACTTGGATGCTCAGAAAAAAAAATATGTCCTCGCCTGCATTCTTTCTCTGGAGGATTATTCTGTCTGTGCCAAGGATCATTCTTGTTATAACATCTCTCAAAGTGATTGAACAAGCAATTTTCCCCTTCTCTGATGTGCTGCTAGATATTCTGAATGCCGATGACACTGCTCAAAGTAGTTTCAATCTTTTCGTTTCACTGACCCCGGGAAAATGATGTCTTATCTGTAAAAGAGGCTAAATTTCGGGCTGACTTTAATGCCTTCCTTCCTTCCTTCCTTCCTTCCTTCCTTCCCTTCCCTTCCTCCCTCTTCTGTCCCTCTGCCCCTCCCTCCCTCCTTTCTTTCTTTCATGCTTCAATCAGACAATGGACCCACTGATGAGTACCTTACCTAGAGTTTATCTGGAACCCAGTTGCAGAGAGGGAGGAATGAAGATCAAAGGGGTCGGGACCAGGCTGGTGAAAACCTATTCCTAACATGATTTTAACTACCGTGTTATATCTTACGAAGCTGCCTGCTGTTTTGTTTATGCCGATTATAGCGGTGCTGGGTGAAGGACTGGGATTTGTTTTCACTCCTGACTATTCACACACCTTGTCCCCAGAAACATGTCTTGCATCCAAGCCACTTCCCTTGAGTCTGCACATGTTTTAGCCTGGGCATTTTCTGTCCGTGTCAACCAAATGATAGTGGCAAACAGCAGTAATAAAGAATGGTTGGGTGTTATCAAATGCTTTGCATAACTCTTAGTTATATGCAGATAATTCTTATTTTATGTAATTATAATGGTAGAAGCTATAATTGTGTCTTCTTTGTGCATAGATCTAGGAAAAACTGCTACTCATGCACTTGTGTAATTTTGGGGTGATGGTGATAGCCATTGCTTTACTGATGCAGCTTATTGCTTCCACAGTGATTGTGTACAAGGTGAGCTTTTGAATGGGATGGTTGAGTACTAAGAACAAAGAGGCAGTTCTCACAAATTATATATACTCCCAATATTATCTGCTTGGATAAGATTACAGGTCTATCTTCAGAAATTATCCAGTGGATTTCTAGTGCACGCCACAATATGATTTTAACCATTCATTGAGTATCCATTCTATAGTGGGGCCACTCCCTGGAGATAGGCTTGAGGGTGGGGAATGTGATCACCCACATTTTTGTAATCATGCTTTTATAGGGTCTGCCATAGTCGGGACCTTAGTCTGTGTTCATTGAGTGTAAAATGAGCACTTTATTGTAGTGGCATCTTGTTCTGCCAATAGACTTGAGGTAATGGCCTTGGGGTGTGCTTTTGAATGGGATGGTTGAGTACTAAGAACAAAGAGGCAGTTCTCACAAATTATATATACTCCCAATATTATCTGCTTGGATAAGATTACAGGTCTATCTTCAGAAATTATCCAGTGGATTTCTAGTGCACGCCACAATATGATTTTAACCATTCATTGAGTATCCATTCTATAGTGGGGCCACTCCCTGGAGATAGGCTTGAGGGTGGGGAATGTGATCACCCACATTTTTGTAATCATGCTTTTATAGGGTCTGCCATAGTCGGGACCTTAGTCTGTGTTCATTGAGTGAATGACCAAATAGGCAATGGAATGAATAGGTGAGTGAGTGAGTGAGTGAATGAATGAATGAATGAATGAATAAGTGAGTGAATGAATGAATAGAAAGGCATTCCATTCCTCTTCTGAAACTAACAAAAACCTTGACGTTAAAACTGAACAGAAACACTGCAGGCCTATACTACTTAAAAACCCATAGATAGGGTACTAAATGAAAATTTAACAGACCAAATTCAATAGCACATTCAAAGAACCCTCTAGTCTGACCAAAGAGGGTTTCTTCTAGAAGTGCCAAGGTAGTTTTCTATTAAGGAAAGTGGCGCTGGCGGTGTAGGAATGTAAAGTGTTATAACCATTTTGGAAAGCAATCTAGCAATATGTATTAAAGTTAAAATATATATATGTCTTTTGATCCAGCTATTCCACTCCTGGGAGTCCGTTCCCCAGAAGCAAGAGTGCCAATGTATAAGAATCCTTGTAACAAATGGTCATTGCAGCCTGGCTCCTGGTGGCCAGAAGTGGGAATTGGTGATTGCCCATAGTCAGGTAGTTAATTATGTGGCGGTGCACACATGCGTGCTGCCGGATATTCAAGACAATGACACGGAACTAGTTGATACGGTCTCTACTGGACAATGACACGGAGCTAGTTGATACGGTCTCCACTAGACAATGACACGGAGCTAGTTAATATGGTCTCCACTAGACAATGACACAGAGCTAGTTGATATGGTCTCCACAAGGTAACCATCGTGTGCTGAGTGCATGGAAGTTTCTACAAAAACTATCATTTGCCTAAGAAAGAAAATGAACCCCAAAGCAAATACCATAAAAGGGAGGAAATCCCCGGGCTGCAGACTCACTAACTGAATCACTGTGGAAATATTATTTCTGTTGACTTCAATTTTCCTGATTTTAGGATGCCAGTGACATTTAAATGAATTAAAATGTGTAAATTGCCAGGAGCATAGAACACAACTGATAGCTTTAAGTTATTATCACAGCCTATTTTGTTGGTTTGTTTGTTTGTAGACCTGAGTAGAAAATGCAGAATTCAGGGGAACACATGAGAGACACACACCAGATTGTTAACCTCCTTCTGTTTTGTAGAGACAAGGGGCTGACATGGGATGAAGGGTGAGAAGGCCCACATAAAGAAAAAAGTGCACACTTCATGTTTATGAATTGAATTTAAATCATGGCACATGGGACTATTATAAAGAACTTTTAAAATGAGCACTTTATTGTAGTGGCATCTTGTTCTGCCAATAGACTTGAGGTAATGGCCTTGGGGTGTGGCTTCAGTGTGGGGACAAACAAGATCCCTTATAAGGAAGATGAGGGGGTCTCCCTTGGTTTCTCGCTTGGGTTATGGTCTGAGCATCCTGCATCTCAGACCCTGTGCCCCCAGGGGCAGAAGACTGCAGTGGTTATTTATCTTCATTGGGTGAGTGCTCCCCAAATAAATGTCTGATATTTTTTATTGGGCATCGTGGACTTCCTTTACCGCCTTCACTTTATTAGTAAGTGTATGAAATGATCTGATCCTGGAAGAACATTGCAGACTTGTGGGTGCTGAAAGGTTCTTAGTAAAGCTTACCTCAGGGTAGCAGAGACGCTCTCAGCAGGCGCTCACACATGGTAAACAACGGGCCTGATGGGAAAACAATGCAAAGGGGCTGGCTAGAATGTATTCTGAAAATACTAATTCCACACTGGGGGACAAGGGGTGAAGAAAGTGTCAGTGTCCGTAGTACAAAAAACTTGGTAACATGTTGGTCGCAAGTAACACACGCCTGGATCACCTGACCGTGAGCCTGGCAAAGGTGTGTGGTCTTTTCTCACCGTTAGGTTCTAGAAAAAAAAATGCTGCTTCCTCAGAGGAACCCTCTAGGCTCATGTTATTCCAGTATGCCCCCACATACCGTCTGCGGCCACATGGCTCTCTTACTGTCTGTTGTCATCTTTGAAAACGCCCACTAGGATGTCGTGATGTCTTAAAAGTTTTGTTTTTTCATGTGCTGGTGTTATTTACATTGTAGTTTAAAGATTGTTGTTCCTCTGCTAAAATGTTTAGAATTAAGTTTAAAATTAAGCATTTAAAATTAAGTTTTCCCTTAAAAATGTGTCGGTTTCTCTGGCCGCTGCAGCAGAGTCACCATTAGGTAATTTCTCCTCATGAACAGGTTATGGGGGGAGGTGGATTATGGATCATGCTGGGGTCTCAGGTCCTGTTTCTCATCTTTGTGAAGGGGATGCGGTGGTGTGGCATAGTTGATTATACTTTTATGAAGTCTACCTAGATTCCATAATGAAAAGGGCTTGACATTAGCAGGACAGAGCAAGATGGCTATCAAAGGTTACTTTACAAAAAACCTTCACAGTGAATTTGAGAACGTGCTCGAGTAACAACTTCTGCATGTTAAGATCTGTTAAATTCAGAGTCTCCTCACCCTGTTTTAGTGTGAGATGAGCAGTAGACATTTCCAGAATGGAATTACTCTTCTATGGTCTTAGAAAGTAACCATGTTAGGCCTTTATACCTGAGTGTTAGTGTCATGTATGTAAAAATCAGCCTTCACTTTGGGTTGTGCTGAAGTGACTGTAGTCTCAGCTTTCTGATTGCTAGCGTCTCTAGCAGTCACTCTTAGATAAAAAAGCAAAAACAAAAACAAAAACAAACCAAAACCAAAACAATAACCAAAAAAACACACTCATTTCCTCCAAACCCATAAGCACAGATGGGCTATTCAACTATGTTCAAATACTTTCTTCTCCTCCAGGTTCTTGCAAACATGGAAGACATTAAAGTCCGTGAAATACAGATTTTTGACTACAGGAAGAAAATTGCTGAATCAGAGACTAAACTGAAGCAGCAACAAAACCTCTATGAAGCCGTGAGATCAGACAGGAACCTGTACAGCAAAAACCTGGTGGAGGCGCAGGTAAACAGTGTGTGTGTGTGTGTGTGTGTGTGTGTGTGTGTGTGT